CTTGCACAACGCGGCATACTTGCAGCGAGCTATGTACTGGCAGACAGACTGAAATGGCGCGCGCTCCAAATCTGTTCCAATGAAACCTTTTACGTCACAGATTCAGTCGCAGCGCCGCCTAGCGGACAATCTGGCGCTAGCCGCGAAACATCGATCGGGTCAGATATCACCGCAAATATGTGCGGGGTTGGCAGAAACCAATAAATCACCATTTACAAATAGGATTTTGGGTAGAAAGGCCCCAAAACTGAAAGTATTGGACTTCCCCTTTAATCTGTACACCTGGGGTCCGCGCGGACCCCAGAACAGTTTTTTGCTGATTTTTAGAAATTATCAACATGCTACCAGCTCAATTGTTTTGCAAACTGATGTGGGAACCTCTGCGTCCACATTACATACAAAAATCATACATTTTGAACTTTTTCTATTTTTTGGTGAAGAAAAGAAGAAATACCCGATTTTTAAACCCATTTCAGACTAAAGGGGCTTTTGAGGCCCAACTTTGATCTCAGATAGCGGCTGAACGGCTTGCGCTAGAAGTATCAAATTTGGAGACCTTTCCTAAAATGTCTCTGGAAAAAAGTTCATATTAGTTTAATACTAGTAAGTTGATATTTTTTGTGTTGCCATGGTAACGGGTTTCTAGCAGGCAGTTTTTTTGAAAATAGAAGTAATTTTGGTTTAAACATAAAAATTTTCTGAGTTTTATATTAAATTACACTTCTTTTCCAACATTAGTAACATCTTACATAATTAAATATAAGTTAAATCATTTAATATGCATAGACTATGCTAATTTGATGACGTCATTGGTCAAAATCCAATACGGCGGACTATATTATTAGCTCTGACGTCATATGACGTAATAATTACACCAAAGTTATTAACATTTTATTCTATTACTATACCGTTCTCTGAAAACTTGGTAGACATACGATGAGCGCATAAAAACATATAAAGACGGAAATAAGGTAATGTATAAGAACGCCAGTGTATCCATTATGATCGAAAGCCGGCTGGGGTCCGGACCCCAAAAGAAAATCAGATATAATTTTTTTATAAATGGTAGAAACGGAGTTTTCTGCACTGTATTGAGAGACAACTTTGTGGGTGACAATTAGCTAAAATTTCAGAAAAAAATCTTCAGAAATTACAGAATGTATAGTGCTGGGGTCCGCGCGGACCCCAGGTGTACTGTTTAGGGTTAAATTGCAGTAATGAACAACATTTAACATTAAATATTGTACATCAACATCAAGTATAATACATTAAACATAAAAAAATGTGCAATGCAATTTCAAGGTATATACACATGATTATACATTATTTACAAAAATATAAAAAAATTTGTCCTATTTGTGAATTTGGCATAAGCCAGCGGTTCTTCTAGTATCCATCCTGACTGTATATCATTTCATACAACCCACATCTGATCAAATCCTCAATTAGATATGTTTTCTACATTCAAAAACGTCTCTGCAGTTGCAGAACAAGTTGCAAGGGTTCCCCGTGAGCATCACCTCAAACATGGCGCTTCTGCCACCGTAGCGAGGCCATTACAGAATTTTCCCTTCCTCTTTGCGACCCTATCAATCCACTGAATATGTTGCTCAGTAATCCACAGCTTCTTGAGTTAGTTTTTGAAGACACGCATACAAACACTGCTCTGTGCATCACAATTGTAGGATAATGCCAGGTAAACAATTTTCGAACTTGACATTTCTATTTACAAACGCTACTTACCTACTAAATATCATAACATTACGGCGTTGCTTAGCGCGTTCAATTTAAAAAAAAAGGCCCCAAAACACGATTTTCGGCAAAAACATTACGGTCATTTAGAGCCGCCAATGAGATAATGTGGACATTTCTTGTTTGTGATCTAAAGTATTGTGATAATCATGATCAACCACGATGACGACAGTAGCTTCGTTACATGTCACATGTCCACTACAATATATGGTATATGTGTACTGTCCCGAAAATGATTTATATATTTGTTATACTGTGATTTTTTTCTTGGAATGTGCCCATGTCATACTGAAAACCCGGGTTTACTGTAAATGGCCGCGGGTGACCCCGGATTGAAGGCCATTCGGTTTGAATTGCGTCTGATCAAACATGATTCGGTTTTAGGGCAGTTGGGGACATTGTGGCCCAAATTTGACCACTGTGTTTCATCCAAAACGTCTTTTTAAAACAGTTTTTAATGTTCGAATTGTTTTAAAACTGTTGATGTACACACAGACCCAGACCATGGTCACTCCACCTTGGCAAAACGAAAAACAAACCTGATGTCTGACTAATTTTGGAATACTAAATTAGAAGATAAGTTTTATTATAGCTGCGGCATAGACTATAGCAAGGATGTTGACTTATCTCACTTCCATATTTCACATTCTGCTGTTATTCTAGTATTTTAAAGTCTAAGCTGGACACATTTACCTCGTTTTGTAAATGTCAACTCCCCAATTTAGACTATGAGCTGCGAGAAGAGTTTGACATGCTAGTGTTACCTGTCATGTATGTATGAACAAATAACTCATCACTACCACCGTAATCTTAGCACAAAATCCATCACAGATAGCAGCTTAATGTATGTTCGGGTACTAGTATATGTATTACCTTCATATTTAGTGCCAATGCATAAGACCCTGCAAATTTTAACAAACAGAACTTACCGGAGATACAGCCACAGTTTAAATGGAAACTCGGACGTGATGAAATACTCGGACGAGTGGCTGTACTTTGCTTGATTTTGTGCAGATAGAAAATGGCAAACTGCTCCCTCATAAGCTACTCTTTACGATGTGTCGACGTGTTAGTTGATTCATATCTGTACTTTGTTGTTATTTCCGTGATGCAATTGGAGGATGCCGCGGTGTACGCAAGTCAGAAAGTATCAAGTAAAGGTAACAATATATAGTATCACCAGGACTAAATTTTGCCAACTGCAATGGGTTAGCTTAATTTATCTAAGATATCGTCGTCCAAATTGTGTCTATTTTTTTTTCACCGGACTCTTAACCTTGCAATATTACATCGGACGGCAAATGAGCCTTTTTAGTATAATCTGTTCTTGTTAATGTTCCCTAGAAACAAGACACCATTTTACGTCTTTGAAATGTTTGGCTGCGCTCGCATTATTTTCGAGTATTCAGAGAAAATTTTCCATAACCATGTCAAGATAGCTTTGCCATATTTTATATCCCACTACCATTATAGAGTATAGCCTGGGAGTGCAGCTGTATACAAAATAAAATACATCCTGTCTGAAAGCTGAAATAGGCAGCAAAAGAAAACAAACTCCCGGCTTTACAGGCACACCACTGAGCACGGGATGCTTGTCAGACCATTATTATGTCACCTTCGTTGAAGAAAACAGTGTTTTCGATCAGTGTCTTATTCCTCCGTTTGAAAACACATGAAAAACATCAATTTAGAACTGGAGCTTGTAAAACCTTCGGCAAGCCGGTAGTTCAGTTTATAGGACACTTAACCATGGGCATTTAGTCTAACATAAATATAAATGATGATTTTTATGAGAAAATGTGTGACAGTGCAAGCTATTCTCAGTTCTAGCTCGGTTTCCATTGCTGACACGGAGTTTCCAGTGGTGAAGCCGCCACATTGGACACCCAGTGCTGACGTAACTTCGACTGATGACCCCGGCTTGGTCGCCTGGAGGAGGGCGTCTGATGTTGAAAGACCCGAAACACCCGATGATCCCAGGTACATCACTGAAGAGTGTCTCTGTCTGCACCACAAGTCATAGAACTACACAGCGAATCTAAACGAAAGCCGCTTAACCTCTGTCCACAGAGTGCTAATTATAAATAAAGGGCAGGGACCAGCTTAAGGACACCCCATTAAAATCACTAGAAATAAGCACTTTAAAACACATTTACCTTTATCTCAAACCTCAAGTCTCCCCTGGAAAGCTGGATTTATCAGGTGTCTTTTGGTACAAATAGTGGAAGTTTAACTCTGGGGTTTTAACCCTACCTAGACCGGGGGGGGGGCTAAAAGTGCCCGCGGCAACTTTGATGTCACCGGCCAAACTTGGTGACTTTTCCTAGAATATTGTTGGCAACAGTTCTCTACCATTGGAATAAGATAATAATTTTTTGTGTTGCCATGGCAACGGGTTTGTGACAGGCATTTTTTGCTAAATTTAGTACTTTTTGTTTAAACAATAAAATTTTATGGGTTTTATGTCAAGTTACTCATGGTTTCTAATATCAATAACATCCCATATAATTTTATGTAAATTTTATCATTAAATATGCATAATTTATGCTAATTTGACGACGTCATTGGCCAAAATCCAAGATGGCGGACCATATCATTAGAACAGGTATATACAGGTTATTTTCATTAAGATTTCATCAATACTTCCATTTCTTTTTCCAAAAAAGGTTTAAATGAAGGTCTTTAGTATGTTAACAATGTAGTTTAGGCTTTATCGTGAAAAAAAACTATTTTTGAAAATTCAAGATTGATGATCCAAGATGGCGGATATCTTAAATTTGCATATGCAACGACATAAAAATTGTAGATATGATAAATTTTTACTAGTACACCATTGTCTGAAAATTTAGTGCTCATACGACATACCGTTCGCGAGTTCTTAGGGGGGGTCACAAGAGACCCCCCCCCGGCCCCCCATGTCAAAAAAAGCCCGGTCTAGGTAGGGTTAACACTACCAGGTGCATAAATGTGAAAATTATGTGAATTTCGTGCAAAATTTCAAGGAAATGTTAAAAATTTGATGTAATGTGAATGCCATCAAAAATATCTGAAACCCAAAATGTGACTTTTTTTCAAAATGTGAATCGTCAAATGTTATCTTATGTGAAACAATGTGACCGTTTGAAAAATGCGAATCGAATATGTGAAATCACACAACCAGAAAACGTGACCAAAAAAATGTGAATTCAAAATGTGAGAAAATGTGAAGAAATGTGAAGCGGTTTTACCCCGCAAACTTGTGGGGCTTTTTGCGCCTTCACTTCGGGGTGTTCGCCTCGGGTGTGAAGTTCAAACTTCACGTTGAGGTGCCAATTACACCAAATTAATCCATTTAAAAACAAATCTTTAATTGTTTGACACAATTTTATGCAATATTTTAATCGGTTATGCACCTTTGCACCTAGGCCACAGGATATTTTCTTCGTTATAATTGCTATATTAGCTGTCCACTGATCCTAACTCTAATCCATTCAGGCATAGAACTAGATAGGCTTGGTCCATCTATGCAAAAACAACAACAGTATACCTGTGGACAATCCATTATTGCAGGCAAGAGAGGGGTATTTTTGCAGGTTTTTAACGTGGTTTAAAATGTGCCATCTAGTGGCTTATGACACGTAACTTGTAAGGCATCGTGATGGTTCTTACCTATTTCCGTAGCAAACTCCTGTTTTCGTGTTGTCCTTTAATACTAGGGATAATTAACACCCCCTGAATATACAGTTGAACATTCCCAAAATAGCCACGTTGACATGTACACTACTCACGGTCGTCAGGTTTCAACACAAGACTCGTGAGGGAGGCTAAACATTATTTGGGAGTGCTGACGCAAGCGACACAGGTGACTTTTTTTTACTTTTTAACCGCCCAGCAGTCCCAAGATATGTAATTCTTTGCAGCTATATCTATAACAAGTTTTATTTTGTTATTTAAGAGAAGGGTAGTTTTTTTCGTACTATATGAGTTGAAATCAGAAAAGTTTATTTTTTCTTTCTTTTCTTTTATATTTCAAACATTCAAAGCGATATTCCTGTATCACAGGAACCATTGGCAGATTGTACATAAGACAAAATATGATATACACATACATGTAACAAGAAAGGTAAAATTGGCGAGCAAATACAGTATATTCACCCCCTCTTCCTCGGTGCAAATATGGACCGTTCCAAATCAACCTTTTGCAAAAAAAGACAAACTCAAAGCATATTTCTTTCCTATACCTTGGATATGATATAATAATGATAATAAGAGACAGGAACTTCGATATGGCGTCTGTAAATCATTCTTTTGTGCAAAGAAAAGTTTAAAATAATATGTATAGAGTAGTCTAACTCTTTTGAAACTCGGTTGGGTTAAGGCGGCCTAGGCTGATATTCATGTTCGAGTTCCGCCGTGTGTCTGCACGATTGCCACAAACATGTTTCGAACCCGAATCATGTTCCACCATGTTCGATATGACGTCATTCGAATAGAACGTGTGTTCGAATTCGGGGTTACCGGCGGTCATTTGTATGTTTCCCCTGTAAACCCGCGTTGTTACGCATTTTATTCACGGAGTATGACTTAAACGGCTTTACGCCCAGCTGAAAACAACATAATTCATCTTTAGAGTAATCCATGTTTACGTATTATCACTTTTTTTATCAAAATTGTCCGAGGCTATTTTGCATATAAGTCGAAATTTTTTAACTGTGGCGATTATTTAACAAAAAATGACAGAAAAATAGCCGTTTCTGTCGTTTTTGGCCCAAAAAAACAATGTAACTGTCATTTAAAACAAAATAGCCTCGGACAAAAATAATAAATAGGGGGTTGGCTTTCTACTTGCAAAATATCATGATGAAAGGTGTTGTTACCGCTTGGGCGTAAAGCCATGAAGTAAACAGCTTTTTTTTAACCAAAATGTTGATTTTTAACCCAAAAATTCAGAAGTAGTAAAAACAAAATAACCTTTATTCAATGTGTTTCAAGTACTACTAGAACTGTGTGAAGTTAAGTTGTGATGCGACCAAGCTATCAAAAGTTACAGCCATATGTATGAAATACTAATTATAGTTGGCCATAGGCTGCCTTAACCCAACCGAGAAGGTATTTAAATATTCGGTGCCCTGTTTTATTTCTATATCCGGATCGCAATATATCCGGGACTTGGCTGGGCAGAATGAAAAGTATCACATAATAAACAACAAATATTACCAAAAAATGAATAGAAAACTTATCATGAGTGATTTGAGTATATTCTTGATATGAATTGTTTATTTTTCATCCACGCAAACATACCAGCTAGACCCCTGTTTGGAAGTGTAACCTCAGAACAACAGATTTTTTTTCAACTTTTCAGGTGACGTGAATCCATAGGCACTTAATAATATAGACTTGGACAAGATAAGACACGATGGGCATGGTATGGGACAATTTCGTGCGTAAATTTTTGTTTCTTCTGATCGGAATAGCACTGGGCTATACTCTGTCCATGATTCAATACGCACACGACATCAAAAACGCCGGACACCCAGCTGCTACCTATAACCAGGATGTACAACGTCGCTTCTCAATAGATGGGAATATCCGGTAGGTAAATTGTGTGTAAACAATTATGTTTACCTATAATGTCCTTACCCAAGGACATTATAATGTCCTTGGTTGACCTAAAGCTTCGGTCACAACCTGCCGTACGTGCTTCTGCGTGCTGTCTGCGTGCAAAAAACGTGATCAAACGCAGGGCATCCGTTCGTGGTGAGTACCGCTTCCGTACGGAATCCTACGGATTTGGGAGCACGCAGACACGCCGTAGAACTTTAAGTGCATGTTAAACTTTTTTCTGCGTGCGGTCTACGGATTCACCACCCGTGCGTGCAGTATGGGCGACGCTCGTGCCCCGTACGTACCGTACGAAAGACGCACGTGTGAGTACGGCCTCCTTACGGTAAAGTTACAATCGCACAGAGATCGTACGTTGCGCAGGTGGTGAGTTGTACGTGCTTACAACGTACGATGAACGCAACCGCTTTCGGCCAAACGTGGCGTGCAGACCACACTCTTACACCTTGCAAAACCATGTGAGTGACGTGCGTCGATGCCATTCCTTCCCCACTTTTTTCAGAAAAAAACGTAGCAGACGTAGCTTCACAAAAAACGTACGGACAAAAAGCACGTACGGCGGGTTGTGACCGAGGCTTTAAGAAAACATTATTTTTGCTCTGTTTCCTCTTCTTCTTCTCCAAACAAATAAGGCCAATGACCTGAACCAGACGCCTGTTACCATGGTAACGAGTGTTTGGTTACATCATGTTGCATTGTTATAGCAGGGGGGGGGGGTTAGACTCCTGACACCATATATATGAACATTTTTGAGTAAGAATTAAAATTTTGAGTAAGAGTTAACCATATGTGAATGTTAATGATAATTATGAATTTGCTTTGCAAATATTACCTTTCTAGTTTCATTATAGATTGTTCACAACATGACGATAAACATACTCTCCAAGCAGATCATACAGTGGCAAGGCAGTATTCATTAGAGTGTCCATTAGCCAATGGATACTGTCTGGCTAATGGATACTGCCTGGCCAATTTGATACTGTCTTTTGCGGCCACCGAAACATCTACTTGGAGAATGAATGAATTTTGAGAACATTAATGTTAACAACATACTTGGATAAGAAATTCGTTTATACTATTCATAAGACCTTCACGCTCCACGTTACCAGCGACAAACTCTGTGAGACGTTTTTGTGAATGTACCTTCGTGAATGCGACTACGGTATAAAAAGCGTGCCCTGACTTCGGACGCTTTTGCTCTCTTCATGCGTTAATGATGAAATTAAGTAAACAAAACTAAGAATACAATTTTAGAATATTTTACCATTTTATGGACAATGAAATTGAGGCTGTGTGTAATTCTTGTCTCACGAGAGGAGGGTAGTATCTAACGCAATCAGTCTTCTTCTTCTTCTTCCTGAAAGCGACCACGATCATCATGTTGATCAATTTGTCGCTGTAGGTCGGAGGTCACTAGCAGCATTACTGAGATGTGGAAGCCCTTGACATGAAGATGTCAATATTTTTGGCCTCGACAGTTGTTTGTGATAGGGTGTTCCAGTCTTTGATTGTCCTCGGTAGATATGAAGCCTTACGGTACTCAGTCCTGGCTTCCAATTGGGCTGAGGTGTGTCGGTCCGTGTTTCCACTGAAAACCTGACTTACGCAATCAATGCGGTCCCAGGGGAATCATGGGAAATGCACACGACAGTGGTGTTGACGTTGTTTTTCATGGGTTTCTTCAAAAGAAACACTCAGAGCATATATTTACTGTTTTGTAAAGCTTTATTCCTTGTGTGTGTGGCAGTTGTGTCAAATCTTGGTACAGGTCTTTTATTCTGGGCACGAGCCGCCGCAATGCAGTGATCCACCTTCCAACGACATTGTTTTGGTAAAAAATTACCAAATTATCTTTCTCGACAAAGCGATGACAAATATATAGAACTATACTTTGCATGCAAATAACGGCTGTATGCATGTTTATTTGAATTTTTAATTACCGAAGTTAGTGGCAACAAACACGTCGTACTTTTGCATAATAAGATTAGTAACAGTCCGTCGGAAGTTAGGGCACGTCCGAAGTTAGGGCAACCCCCCGTTATAGACATTATAAAAGTCGCTGTACTTTTGTTTGACCTTTATTAAACGTTGATGTTACACTTTGCAACTGTTAAAGGGGGCAGGTCAGGGGTCGTATAAGCGCATTTATTAGTAAAACTTACAAAATATTCAATATACAGTCCAAATCAATTCCGTAGTGGCTTGTTTTAAAACGCTATCACTGAGGGTGCCTTTTTATATTTGGTGGTAAGTCATTCCATGTCAATGCGCCTGAATACGCTATTGATCTCCCATATAGCTCTTTTGTTGTGTCAACACAGATCGCATGCTTTGATAACGTACTAGGCTGTCGTACCGGTCCCAACATTTTGTATGTACCAAACTAGAGATCCCCGATCTCATACCTTCACCATACTTTATGACTGACAAATTATAGATTATTCCCCCCTGATTTAATAAATAGGATCCTCATTTTCATGAATTATACCACTTTATCATATTCTCAACTAAAAGACAGTCTGATATTAACAAACAGTACCATTTTAGCATTTCCCTATAGATTATGTAAATGAGGTCCTGATTTGAATACATTGTTTAATGATGTTCACCTTCACTGAACTTTCAAATGCCTCAAGTATAAAATTGCAGGCAGTTATTATGACACAATTACTATTACTCCGTGAAGGAGGTCAAGACCTCCGGACGGAGTGTTGTGATCGGCTGATTTTTCATGTTCGCAGTCTAAACACTGGGTTCTCTTTGTGTAATCGGCACGCAATTTTATACGCCGTCTGCGGGCATGCCCGTGTTGATGCACGAATGTGTATTTTTGCCGTTGCTGCTTTCGCGGTCAATGTAATATTGCAGACGCACCCCTACAATTACGAGGCGAATTGGAATGGTCCAGAAAAACGCGTTGTTTGGAATAGCAGTGGGGGGGTGGAACTTCATGCAGATACGGGGCGGTTTTGATAAGTGGTTCCAGATGTTTTTGCCCATGCTTAAGAGATGCCAAGTTTTTTGGAAGATGTTCGCAGCCAAAACGCATTCTTCCGTACGTCGCATTTCTGTGTAATTTCGCATGTGGTGTGGCATTATGTCCGGGATGATGCACGTCTTTTTATTTTTACCCTAGCTGTTTTGATATTGAAGTAAATGCATATTTTAGAAACATCCCTACTTTTACAATCCTGTGGAATAGGCCGTAGGTTTAGGCAGTTGTCTGGTAGCAGAGGTACTATAAGCAGATATCCTGGTTATCTGGCCGGCGGTAGTAACACTCGCGGTGCTTACCGCAACTGTTGCTGGAATTTGGCCTGTTCCAGGCGCGCTTAATTAGGTACAGGCACGGTAAGACGGTGGGGCTCTCTTTGTTACTAGACACGACCATGATAGCCCGATCTTTATGTGAATGCAATGATTGTGTGTGTGTAATTAAAATGAACTTCGAACTTGAAGCACAGTATCTTTACACGCCCTGGGAGCAGTAATGGATTTAGCTCTTTGTATGTTTTATGCTTGTGACGCGCCCTCATTGTATTAACCGTTGCCTAATTATAATGTCTGCACAGTAGGTCTGGTGTTGACGCTTTGGATTTTGTTGAAATATATAAAACTTCACGGAAGATTGTCGCCTATGGCTTCTTGTTATAAAAATGTTCTCATTAATTATGCAAATTAAGTCTTCATTTACATAATCATTCATATCTACATGTGTTTCTCTCGGTCTCAGTTACCAAGCTTCAATAGTCCTATCATGGAATGCAGCTGATTTGTAGAATTCCGCAGAGCAAGCCGGTAGGGGGCCTAACCTCAAGTCACTTTCCCAGCACAAGAGCTACCTACCATTCAAATTTCGTCACCCTAGCATGTCTAGATCATGAGATATCAAAATCGGTAGTTTAGCTGCAGTACCATAACAAGCAGCTAGGGGGTCTCATCAAGACCTACCGACCTACCAAGTTTCAAGACAATCCATCAAGACCTTCTTAAGTTATCGTGTTTACACACACACACACACACACACACACACACACACACACACACACACATATATATATATATACACGAACGCCTCTGAAAACAACCTTCTTGGCGAAGGTAACAACAGCTATATATGATATAAAACCTACACTGCGTGAAACTCTAATAATAAATGAAAGCAGGTTATTCAAACATCTCTATGTCTAGACCTCCCCAGGAACCAGAGAAGAAAAATGGGCCAAGGAAAATACTTCTGGACTGCGGAGCTAATGTCGCATCTACAGTACAGGTACTGACAAGTCACTTTTTATCAAAACTAGTTCAGACTTTGGTTAGAAAGTCCCTAATTTTGCAGTTTAAAAAAAGATTAACATAAAAGCAAGATCACATATATTAAAATTTAAAAAAAAGTCACTATAATAATGTTGCTAAAGTAGCCAACTGTTGGGATTTAAACCCGGTAACTTTGGGTTGGAAGTTTTATACTTATAGCCTGTACTAGATCTATCCAGACAAAATGATGTGTAATTCGTGTACCATGATATTTTTTTAATCGAAATATCTCAAATATGTACCAATACGCCCATTCAAAAGCCTAGACAAAACAGTTTAAAGACGGTAACTGGTAAAAAAGTCAGATGCTTGGACTTAATATTTCACACAAGATGTTTAATTCTGTAAAGCTATTCTTTGAAACATATTTAATAACGAAGAAGCCTGAATGCCATCCTTTTTGGTTACCGGGGATCCTATAGTTGCTCCAAAAATTGTTTTAAGGGAACGAGTACCTGTTTACACACAGTCTTGTAGCAGGGATTGTATCCCACTTAACTGTTCCGTACAGTTATTTAGGGAGACCTACCCTGATGGAAGAGACTACACTATCCACTCGTTTGAGCTAGATTCGAGGCTGGCGCCCTACTTCGCGTCCTACTCCGACCACGTGCTGCACTGTCCAGTCGCCGTGGCCGGGAAAGATGGTCAGTTGTGTCACTTCTATGGCTTTTCTTAACGCTTAGTTGTCTTCTCAAGGCTTATTCAATCCTTCACATTCTCATACACATCGGTAGATATAAATCATGCAAACGAGTACTTAACTTTATAAACAACTAGACAATGCTGCAATTTTGGTAAATGGTTATATTTCATACTTGCTGTATTTGGAAGTTGCGCAAACATTGTCAAAGTAAGCAAATAGGATATGGCCTCGTAGGCATCGTAATGTAAGCAAGATTAGAGACATTACTGGTTGTGCATAAAGAAACCATTAAATTCGTATGTTCTATGGCTCAAGCTGGAATCACATTTGAAACGGGGCCTGCTCGGCATGGTCTCGGTGTAGACGCCGGAGGGCGTCATGAAGCCGAGCGTGCGCTGTCAGGGTCACAGGCAGGTTCTATATAAAATTTACAAGCCTTTAGTCCCTTTGACGGCCGGTTTCTGTTAGGGAGCCGTCTGATGCCCGATCAGTCGCCCATCTCGACCGACTCTTACATTTCGGCCGGACAGCTACAGGGTCCCTGGCGGGGTCCAGGGGTGATCCTGGCAGGTCCAAGGCTATACGCTCCTGGCTGGTATGGCGGGTTCCCCCCTAGTTGATGCGCAGACCCGTGTATGGTCACCGCGACTCACTGATGATGGAGCTATGTCGAGAGCACCACTGCGACTTTTAAATACCCTATAAAACCACCTTCTTCTAAACATTTAAAGCACAGATCAGCACAGGTGACGTTATAATCTTGGACAGCAAAGCTGGTGTATTACGCCGAAAGGCTGTTATACCGGCTATGCAGATACAGACATGTGTCTGTGTGGGCGCCTCTCGGGACCCGGCGGCTAGGTTACGGCTTGGTCCGGTGAGGTTACGGCTTTGTTACGGCGTATCTTTCCCGCCGGGGCCGGGGGTGATTTTCAGTTTGAGTTAAAATCAATTCGGCAAACGAACCGGGCAAAAATACGCCGGCAGCCGTCGGGAACCCCGCCAGGTCCGTCCAGGTCCCGTTCGGTAGTGTCGAGCCGGCCCATTTTTTTTTAATTGTGACCTAGGCTTAATGGACACTCCTCTGGCCAATGGATAGTCTTGCCATCGTATAGTCTGCTTGGAAATTAAGATTCTACCAACCTTATGAAATTATTTTCAGGCACTATAACTATCATTTTTTTTATTAACAGGAAACATCACAGCGTACGCCGAGACAGCCTGGAGACCAGACAAAGGCAAGGTGGCCGGTGCAGACATGCAGTGGGGAGGGGGGAGCATTTACGTGTATGAGGCCGAGAAAAAGAACGGCAACATCGGCAGACATCTCGGTTTTCAGAATGTCATACCCATGGTGGATCTGTCCAGGTGGATACGGAAAAACACCGGTATATTTTACATCAATGAAGAATAACCTTTATATTGTGCATACACTGGGCTAAGCACAGGTGACAGCAATAAAGCTTGTACATGTATATATTATTACATGCATACGCATAATCAGTTCAGTAATACGCATAATCTAGCACTAGCATTGTTGTACATTTGACTTCTCCTCACTTCTCTGTGAGTGGTTTAGGAGTAGATGTTTGTCTAAGCCCTTTAGAAATGTGACAGTTGTCTGTATTATTTCTGAATATGAAATATCAGGCTTGATATCATTGTCAATAAATAAGAAATACCCATTCTCTTTTCTCCAGCCCAGGAAGACTACGTTATTTTCAAAATTGACGTCGAGGGGGCTGAGTATGAAATCTTGGAGAAAATGCTCAAAGAGGGCACCTTCAAGTGGATAGACAAGTGTGTTACTTCATTCTCTGCGTCGATTTTGATATTAAAACATTGGTGTCCATAGTAGTTAAACGATGTGACTTACATTATATATAACTATGCATTTATATCGTTGTAGTTAAAGGCCGATTGTTTTACTTTATGATATTTACGGTTGTAAAATACTGCACTTTTAATTGTGAAAATTGTAACATTCCAAAACATTTTTCAATGGACCAAGTTCTGCGATATGTGTTCCACTACGTAGTATTCCAAATCATGTATTGGAACATTAAACATATATTTACGGATGCCGAACAAGTATTCTTATCATCCTATCTATCTGAACATTTCAGAGTTTATGGTGAGTTCCACGGCTGGCAACTGGTGACAGACTGGCCCAAAGAAAGAAAACAAGGGCTTCAGGATGCTCTGAACGTCAGCGGCATCACTTTGCTTGACTGGGTGGGGGAGCGCAAAACTTATGAAGACATGGAGACGCTTTGTCCAGTTGACGTAAGTAAAATGATGTACCTTTTTCCCATGGTTAAAACTAGCCTCCTTTTCCGGCGTTCCCTTAAAATACCCCCCCCCAAAAAAAAACAAACAAAAAAACGAACCGATCCCGGTCGTTAAGCCGACGTTTCGACAACCGACTGTCATCTTCATCTGGGCAATAAACCAGACATTGCTGCCCTGATATGAAATTTGATACACAGTCATCAAAAAGTCTGGTCTTGTTGAACATTCGTTGTAAATAAAGAACTTCAATTGAAATGAAATAATAAGTAATAATTGACTACTAGAGTCAGTCCACGGGAAGGTTCTTTTCCCCTCTACTACTGTGGCCCAAAATCTCCGGGGCCAATTATTCACTCTATTTGGCTAAACGTTACTGTTTTTGAACCCCGCATTGTTAGAGACTGATATCGCTGTTGCCTCTTATAGATCTCAGAGGACACCCCCCGGAGCTGCCGGAGGGGTCTACTCTAACTGTACCCGGTCTCCTGGTGGACCCGCCCGCCTGGCCCTGACGGTACAGGTCGGGATGAACAGGTCAGTACACAAGTTATCACAGAACTTACCCTGACGGTACAGGTCGGGATGAACACGTCGGTACACAAGTTATCACAGAACTTACCCTGACGGTACAGGTCGGATACACAGGTCGGTACACAAGTTATCACAGAACTTACCCTGACGGTACAGGTAGGAGTGAACAGGTCGGTACACAAGTTATCACAGAACTTACCCTGACTGTACAGGTCGGTACACAAGTTATCACAGAACTAACCCTGGCGGTACAGGTCGGTACACAAGTTACCACAGAACTTACCCTGACTGTACAGGTCGGTACACAAGTTATCACAGAACTTACCATGACGGTACAGGTCGGAAGAACAGGTCAGTACACAAGTTATTACAGAACTTACCCTGACGGTACAGGTCGGGATGAACAGGTCAGTACACAAGTTATCACAGAACTTACCCTGACGGTACAGGTTGGAAAGAACAGGTCAGTACACAAGTTATCACAGAACTTACCCTAACAGTACAGGTCGGAAAGAACAGGTCAGGTACACAAGTTATCACAGAACTTAATCCCTAACTGTACAAATCGGGATGAACAGGTCAGTACACAAGTTATCACAAAAAGTACCCTGACGATACAGGTCGGAATGAACAGGTCATTACACAAGTTATCACAGAACTTACCCTGACGGTACAGGTCGGTACACAAGTTATCACAGAACTTCCCCTGACGGTACAGGTCGGGATGAACAAGTCGGTACACAAGTTATCACAGAACTTACCCTAACGGTTCAGGTCGGAAAGAACAGGTCAGTACACAAGTTATCATAGAACTTACCCTGACGGTACAGGTCGGTACACAGTTATCTGAACTTACCTGACGGTACAGGTCGGAATGAACAGATCGGTACACAAGTTATCACAGAACTTACACTGACGGTACAGGTCGGTACACAAGTTATCACAGAACTTACCCTGACGGTACAGGTCGGAATGAACAGATCGGTACACAAGTTATCACAGAACTTACCCCTAACGGTACAGGTCGGTACACAAGTTATCACAGAACTTATCCTAACGGTACAGGTCGGTACACAAGTTATCACAGAACTTACCCTGATGGTACAGGTCGGTACACAAGTTATCACAGAACTTACCCTAACGGCACAGGTCGGTACACAAGTTATCACAGAACTTACCCTGACGGTACAGGTCGGTACACAAGTTATCACAGAACTTACCCTGACGATACAGGTCGGGATAAACAGGTCGGTACATAAGTTATCACAGAACTTACCTTGACGGTACAGGTCGGAATGTACAGGTCGGTACACAAGTTATCACAGAACTTACCCTGACTGTACAGGTCGGGATGAACAGGTCGGTACACAAGTTATCACAGAACTTATCCTGACGGTACAGGTCGGTACACAAGTTATCACAGAACTTACCCTGACGGTACAGGTCGGTACACAAGTTATCACAGAACTTACCCTGACGGTACAGGTCGGAATGAACAGGTCGGTACACAAGTTATCACAGAACTTACCATGACGGTACAGGTCGGGATGAACAGGTCGGTACACAAGTTATCACAGAACTTACCTTGACGGTACAGGTCGGTACACAAGTTATCACAGAACTTACCTTGACGGTACAGGTCGAAATGTACACGTCGGTACACAGGTTATCACAGAACTTACCTGACGGTACAGGTCGGTACACAAGTTATCACAGAACTTACCTTGACGGTACAGGTCGAAATGTACACGTCGGTACACAGGTTATCACAGAACTTACATGACGGTACAGGTCGGTACACAAGTTATCACAGAACCTACCCTGACGGTACATGTCGGGATGAACTAGTTAGTACACAAGTTATCCCAGAGCGTACCCATTGATACGCACAATTAAACTTGCCGAAGCGATAGCCTATTTAAGCCCTTTTTCGGTCCTGATTTCCCCTCATAGACGTTAAAATTAACTGACTTGCCCATTTAAAAAGCCTACCGTTTGTCCAACGTGACGCTTGTCCAACGTGACATTCTTTGATGATAACTAGACAGAATTTTTTATGATATCGGCAATTAAATTTGATTCGATCTGTAAAAGAACTGTGCCAGTGCGCGCAGTCGTAGTCTTTTAAGACTGACGGAAAAACATTTCTTTACTCATCTGTGTATATTTTGCGTGACTACATGTGAACAACAATAAAACAGGAAGGCGGCCCACAAGCTGGTGGAGACTATTCGGGCGCATCACAGCAAAATGCCGGTCACTCTGTTCGTGTACGGGGACTTCGTGCAGGAATATCCGGACCTGGTCACACAGTGGGCACAGAGATACACCATAGGGATGCGAGAGGTATGTTCTATCTCAGAGTGCGACATTGATTCTAAGGTACCACCTGGCACCTCCGTATACTTCCACTTATAACACTGACTATAGGTAGAGTGTTATTCGAAAGATACACGTCTGAACTAGAAAGGCAATATCTGCAAAGTAAATGCATAATATTACCTTTACACGGTCTAGCCTAACAAAATACTACCCTGTTTACCCTTACTCAAACACATTCATATATATATATATGCATGGTAATGATCCAGAAATTTGTGAACGGGGGGTGGGGGTGGGGGCGCCGGGTGCACCCCCCCTCCGGATCCGCGGGTGATGGTGACCAGCTCCTTTAACCCTACTCTGCTACATAATGTAATCCAACACAACAGCAGTTACCCTGGTGACAGTCGTCTGGTCCGGGTAATTATATTTCAGTCCATACCATGGTATGGATGAAATATATTGTGTTCTCTGATGTTTCTTCTTCTCCTCCTTCTCCTTCTCCTCCTCCTGCCAAACAGTCAGAGGGATTCAACTCCGCCATCATTCAGCCAAATGACTTGAAATTTGGCATGGAGGTAGAGTGGGCCAATACCCCCAGGCTTTTTTTTCATTTTTTTGATACATGCCTTTGAAAAATTTTTATGAAGGTTTTTTGGGGCATTTTTCGCCAAAAAATGGATTTTTGGATCCTGAGCCCTGGTTTTACAACCAAATGATCTGAAATTCGGTAGAAATAAAGAATATAACTTCCCCTTTCATGTGGTGTATTTATTTAGGTTGTAAAATGTTGCAAACGCCAGAAATTTGCCGATGAAAACGGCGCGTCGTGAGCCGAGCGCCCGAAACGCGGCCATTTTGTTTCTCTCGCTATTGCGAAATCACCCTGACTTTAGTGCGCTTGCGCCTCGCCGTCATAGACCGCATCAGAATGAAAGTAGCCCCATTCGAAAGCGCAGATTCCGAGCTTAAAAATGGTGCCAGGAACATCGGGAAAATTTTATTTTCGGGGGGCTAAACGTCCATTTTTAACGATTTGTCGATCTTTAAACATCAATTTGACCACCTAAATTTCATTTTCCCATTTTGTCACCAGTGTCAAAATGACGGCAAAAAACAGGGCTTTCCGCTGATGTAATAGGTAGTTTTCTCGAATGCACCCTGGCGAAGCGCAACGCTAGATTTACTGATGAAGTCATGGTAAACAGAGCGCTGCCGCGGGAAATACGGCCCGCTCGGGCGCCCGGGCGTTCTTCAGGAACAGCAAATACGTGAATGGAGCGGCACAAATACGCCCTATTTGACGCTATGGAGCAAGAATTTCCAGGTAAAATATGTTTTTTGTGTATTTTGAGAGTTTGTAAACACTGGAGGGGGGGAGGGGGGCGAGGTCTAAGGAAATTATGTGTGCTTTTATTACAAATAATACCAATTTTTTTTCTCAAGCCCATACCAGCAAAATTATGTAGTTTCAATGCAATATGTGTACTTCTAGTACTCATCACTGATTATGTTATAGTTTAAGAGTTGTTTATTTCTGTGGTACTTGACATGTAAATTGTTGTTTGCCTTGTTCCAAGTTGAAAATACCACTGTGTATTTTTTTCACTTGTTGAACTTGAGGCACCGTGGGCCCCCGGTTAGGGGTCAGCCGGGGAACCTATGCCCAATTTTTTCAAAATTTTGATGGCATTTTAAGCTCATTCTTATTGTTACAATAAAAGTAAATGGCATTTTGGAGATATATTTTCACTCATATTTGTTTAGCCATGTAGTAGTAATTTATCAAGCCAGCAAACCAATATTTTGCCCAAGTTCCGGACTTGGATATCTACCTACCTACCTACCTTGTCCATCAAAGGACCGGGTCGTCGGGGTGACAGGGTAGTTTTCCTTTGTGCTGCAGCAGTCAGTAGCTCCGGGATTGTCATCCAAATCATTCTCTTCAATGAGCTGACTTCAGTTCAAACTTGAGGTTACAGTATATATACACATTGTACTTACCTGCTGTATTCTTTTTTTTATCGTATCAGGAACCCATTTCTTACAAACCTGGGAAGTGTGGTAATGTTGCCATGTGGTGCACAACGACAACCATGGCCACCAACTCTGGTACCCAGGAGAGGTTGTAGAGGATGGGGTGGAGACAGTGACTATCAACTTTTTCCACAAAGTTGCAGTTAACTTGAACCTTCTATTTCTATTAGAAATAAATCTTTAGAACTGCCCAGTATATACAGTGTAAAGAATGTAATGATTTCAGTACACCAAATAGATGTTAGTGCATGTCATACATTGTACGCTAGATTAATAATGTTTTATTGACATTGTAAATGCAGTGATAATATTGTATATAGCTACACTTATGATACATTTATTCAATCAAAACAAACATCTGCCATGTTTCTGCCATGTATTGTGCAAGTGTTGAGTTGTAGTACTCTTGATGCAACATGTAACATCATGGCTCATCCAGCAAGTGATATATGTACCGGTATGTGACGGATTCGATCGTGCAATCTTACCGTTGACCTTGACCAAGTTGATCTTGTAATTAGGGCAATTAACATTCAATTTGATGACATTCTGTGGATGTAACATATTGTATCTAATACTAATAGAAGATAACATAATGCTGTACACTGTGGAAGTCTATGAAGTATGTTGCTTAGTGGACTAGTCTAGTACTAGTATTTACAATGCTATATCATGCATATATATATGACTTCGCGGTTACCCAAAATATGGACTTTTTGACCTAAATTTAATCCTTTATGGAAGAAGTACAGGTAAAATAACTGTTTTTATGTAAAAGAAGACTAATGGGTGTTGCTGTGTCTGAAATATTGGAAGACAGGTCTGTTCCCATCAAAAAATACAGGTGTGTGAACCTTGGAGGATTTTCCCCCCTCTAGGGGTCAAAGGTCTCGCTACCACCTGACAGATTTGTCGGGAAAAGCATATTTTGACCCGGCATATATACATAATAGAATGTCGTGGAAGTCTGGAACTCTGTGATGTGACTCAATGTAATACATATTATCAATAAATAAGATAAAATAAGATTTTCACCATTTACTTACCTTTTAATCACCCTTCAAAAATGGTAATTTGTTCATTTTCTCAGTTGATTTCACAATCTGGAGGTTAACGAGGTCAGATTTTGGCAATTTCGTGGAGCCATATCTCAGGAACCGCTCAAGATATTGACCTCATTTAAAAAGCATTTCACTCACCTTGATAAGCTCTTCCAGAAACTGTAAGAATCATCTCTGTATTATGTATTTGAAATTTTGGTTGGAATACCTACTTTAATGGCTATTTTCAGCAACAAAAAGGCCAAAAGTGCTGTACCCGTTCCATGTTCTATCTAAAGAATGGCCGGTTCCATCCATGGAACAGGTGTTCCATTGCGGGTTACCTGAGGTCACATTGCACCTAAGTGGTGCGTAATGACCCACACATTCAATTTTATGTGCCTAAGACCTTAAAAATGTATTAAATCTCATCATTGTTAGTTTTTGTCATACCTGTAATAAGATTAGTAAAGCTTTCGAGATTCAAAGTACTTGTTGTTGCATCTTTGTTCTCATATAGCTACTATTTAATTTATTTGAGAACCTTTGCCAGTTTTGCACTGGGGTAAGTTTGGAATAGTCCACTTTTGCGTGGGAGGGAGATTGACTGAAATATGCTGTATTTGCTCCCAAGCAAATGTCGGCCTTTCTAGTTGACCTTATTTTTTTGGAGATGGAGATGAAGAAACAGAGCAAAAACGATATGTTTCCTTCTGTGAAGGTAAGCATAATTAGAAAGGTGTTCCAACGTACTCGTTTAATCTCCCGTTTAAATTTTCCCAATAGAACGCACCCTTTCCAGAAGATCACTGGGACCTTCAGAACACCAACGTCGTGCGGATGGGAATGATCTCGGCCGTACAGCGGATGAGAGAAGTGGGGCTGCAACCAGCCTACTTCTATCCGAGTAGCCTGTCAAAACAGGTGAAAAATGAAGCTAGTAGAAGGGGACTGAGAATCATCCAATCGACAACCAAGTTTCCTCCGAACATTGGTAAGTTAGAGCTATTCTTGTGTTACCGTTAGGCTGTTCGTAGACTCTACAGTCCGGCTGACTTCAGGGAGCAGTCCGAACAGATTTAGGCCACGCCCACCTTTTGTACGAGTCGAAACGGAATAGAATTAAATTTGAGTCAAATTTAACCCCCGAACCGAATAGTTGGCGTTCTGCTGATTTACAGCCGAATGTATCAGCGAACATCCCGACCAACCCCCTAATGTTTTGAACATTTAAAACGCGGCGAGTGTTTTAAACATTTGAAACACGCCAGCCGAATTCACCGAACACCAGCCAAAGTTGCGCTGGCCTACTCCTAACCATGGGTGCAGGGCGTTCGGCTAGTGTTCAGTTCAGTTGCCATATTCGTGAATGTGTGACACGGTAACATAAAAAATGTGTACATGTATTATTTTTATTTATTTATGACGATTTACCACATCTGACTTGTGAAAGGATTGACATGACAGGTGACTATCACCTTTTCAAAGATGTCAAACCTGAGACCAGACTGTAATGTTTGAACCACTCACACCGGGTACATGTAGGTCCCCTACTCTTTTCGATAAGTGTGATGTGTTCTTTTACGTGCGTGGGGTGTGGCTCTCCCAAACACGGGACCTCCATTTAACATCCTATCCGAGGGACGTCCCTAGTCGAAGCTAGGTACTCATTTACACCTGAGTGAAGTGAGGAAAGTCGTATAAAGTACCTTTCCCAAGGGTACAACGTCGCGGCGCATGTTCGGACTTGTTCGGGTACGAACTCCGGAATCGAACCCGGGTCTCCCCGTTTCATAGTCCAGTGATGTACCATTACACCACAGGAGACAATTCTATTCACACTTCAGGTCCATACTTCTATGCTTGTTTCAGGCACGCTGTTGACGGAAAAGAACTACTACCGATTCCGAGACGTGGAGAGGACGCCCAAGGCGCTCCGGATCCTGCACGAACGGATCTCATACGGCGGGATTCTCACTCTGGACAGTGATCATCCCGACAGCTACATGATCTCCGCTTTCCTCATGGACTATCTGTACGAAAACTCGGGCTTCGAGCTTGTCAGTATAGACAACTGTTTAAAGTGATAAAATTAATGCATGAATGAATGCATGGATAAATAATCTTTATTGTGCATGCTCAACTTATATATACTTTGTCGTACATTGTATGGCAACAATGACAATGTTATCATTACAGTACTGCTAGTCTATTTTTAGAAGCTACACGACCAAAATGCCAATCTTGTTTTTCTTCAGAGATAATTTTCTTCCACTGAGAAAATTTTTGTTCACCCAAGAAAAAATCTTGTCCATGAATTGTGCAAGAATTTCAAGAAACTGCATTTTAGCATAATATATTATCTTTCTTGTGTCATTTTATGACCTCACTGCATGGTGTTCCTATGAGCAAAATAAGTCAGTACACTGTACGTAGTATTTTATTATAAACCCTTTCTTCTTAAAATTATGTCATATACAATTGAGTTTTTAGAGAACAATCTATTTATACGGTTGTGACCAAAAAATCACATTTATGATGGCATATTACGTCAGAATAACATAGACGTTAGCAGTAGTTATGATAACGTTTTACTACTACACCATCCTAAAAAATCTGGTAGTCATACTGTGTACCGTTCGCGAGTTCTGAGGGGGAGGCGAAGAAGCCCCCCCCCCCTCCCCCGTCCCACGAAGCCCGGTCTAAATAGGGTTAATTTACCACTGTATTCCTCTGAGTATTCTTAATTTTCTAAACATAGAATGGGTCGATACAAGAAAATACCAAATGACCAAATTTTTGTCCATTTTGTCCAAACATGATTGAAAATGAGCACCATGTCATATTTGATTGTACACTATACAATGATAAGCGCCTATTGCTGTTAACTTTTCTTTCCGCTTGTTCAATTGATTTCAATACGTTAGATCCTATAGATAAATGCAACTACATTCTTAAAGGAGATAACCAATATAATGTTCAAGTAGGAAAATACATTAAAGAATGTTTCGATCTTAGAGACCACATGTTAGATATGTTATGTTAGATATGTTTATGTTAGAGAATAGTTGAACTTTTTTTTTACCGCATACATATACTCTGTACGTAAGATGACGTTATCCACACATGTATTTAGCTTTGTAAGATCTTTAGCTTTAGAAGACCATACAAAGGTCACTGCACTTTTTTATTGTGTCAATAAAGAATCTGATCCCACCATGTTGCAATAGTTCAAGACATTGACATTATATTTCATATACATCTGTTAGCGCACCAAGGCAACACTTAGTCCTGCAACAGAGACGGTAACAATGTGGTTGTATAAATTCCATAAAGGCAAAAGTATACAGCAAAGAATGCTGATGACAATGGAGGATAGATGGTTAAGACAAAGGCCATGTCAGATATGACAGCAATCTTACTGTACGGTAGTATTCCTGATTCTTTAAGAAAAATACAGACTGAAGTAGCTTGGAAACAACAGTAGGGGAACTAAAATTTTCATTTGAATTTTCTTGATTAAATCTGGTTATGTAAAAAAAAAACATGTCCAGAGGCTTCATTAATAAACACAAACAGCATAAAGTTTGAGTCACACATTGATTATTAAAAGTTAAAGGAGCTCAGCATCTTGCCATCAACATATGCGATTTGAATTCTAATCTCCATGACTCATACCCTATTTATTTTTCATAAACTTGGACATTTTAAGAATCAATTGCAAACAAAACTGCAATTTAATACTACTGATTTAGTTATGCAAATGTCTATATTGTTTAGTAAGCAATTTAGTTACATGTATAAATAAGTTTCAATGTCGCGGGTTTTCCCAGTCATTACATTATATAAGGGGCCCTAGTCAAGGAACCTATTATGTCTGCCGTAGTTTGCCCGGTTTTTTACGGGGCAGAAGTGGGCTTTCCGCCGCCGGGGTTTTCTTTGGCACGCGGTAGTAGGTATACATGGTCGTCATAACCCATCATTAAATATATATATATATATATTCCGAAACATGTAATCACAAGACGTGGTGACGACACACTCAAGTTTTTTCAACTTATATTAATGCCGACACCAACACAGGGACAGTACAATACTCATTTACACCTGAGCGAAGTGAGGAAAGTCGTGTAAAGTGCCTTTCCCAATGGCACAAGATCGGTGGCATGTCAGGACTCGAACCCGGGGCCTCTGGTTCCGAGTCGAGAACGCTGCCGCTGCGCCACACGACCTCACTTTTTTCGTTTCTTGTGTGTAACGTACTTATATCGTTAAAATCTTTTCATTTTAAGATCAATGTTATGAAATTGTTAGCTTTGCGAAAGCCAGTTAGTAATTTAAAAGTTTCATTTTTTATTTAGTAAAAACTTGTATGTAATAGAGAAGACAAAAACATAACAATCACATAACAAATCGGTGTCAGCAGACGTCAACAAGCTAACGTCAAAAACGAAATAAAAAAAACATCTAGTCAACAGCCGAATGTCAAAATGGAACATATATGAAAAAAATGAAAGTAATCGTAGTGTTAATCCTGCAAAGTCAGCACATGATGTGCAAGTAAAGTGGGGGTTAGCATAGTTCCTTTTATTACCAATTTGCTTGCAAATAAAGTCATTTTACGTTGTAGGGCAATGTAATAATCTTAGCCGCCCTGTCTAGCGAACCATTGTTCAGGTGTTTTATAGAGCATTCGAATCGGATAAAAGCGAAAAACAACATGGCGGCTTGCTTGAACATTCATGATTAAAGACCATTTCTGGCAGCTACGGTGATCGTAATACGAGAGTGTGAGATCTATCTGCACAGTAAACAAACGCAATGTCAGAGAGTAACAGAACGGGGTGCATTAGTCCTAGCAATGTGTCCTAAAATAACCGAGATGTGAAATTTCATTGCAAACTCTTCTTGACATGGCAACCGTTGCTAGACAACTTGTTTCCATAGCAACTAAAAGGAAGCTGGTAACGTGATGTAGTGTTTGCGCGCTGTTATAGTTTTTACAAGATAACATCATTAAATCAACCTAAACCAGGATGTGACACGTATTCAGCAGGAGCCACTACAATAGTGAACAGGACGGTAAGAACACGGCTCAATTCAGAGACATAGGAACATTTTAACACTGCAGGTAAGCAAGATTCGTTGTCTAAAGTTGCATTTAAACATTACCCTCAAGTAGTGAAGCCCAAATCCGTAGTACGATATGCCTACGACCAATAACGGCGTATTTACGGCGATCGTGCCGGTGTCGTAGATTAAGAGGAGATGTGTGTAATGGTTTTCAATGAAACAACTGTGCACGTTCATTCGTAAGTCTACTACGTACAGCATGATCATCGCTTCGTTGAAGCAAGCGGCTCTAGTGGTCCGGCAGATCTTAGAGCCCGGCAGGTAGTACGCAGGGGACTAAGTAAGGGGCTTAGAAGCACGAGCGTAAATAAAAATATTATAAGCTCTCAGTGCCTGGCTTTTTTAAAAACTAATACTGGTTTATATCTTGTAGACTGTATAGAGTAGCAAGGTCCCTGTACGACCCTGAATTGATCTACCGCATTACACAGGTTCTTAAGAACCGTTGGCACAGATATTAACAACAACTAGAGTTCGGAGGACTCATGCCTTCGACAGTGTGATATTGTTTTGGTGGGTGTTGTGTGTATGTATAGTGTAGACTTTTTGAAGATGATTATCGTAGTTATAGTGGTCAGAGAGTCTTTTTGTGAACGAAGCAACATACTATTTACCTAGCCTGTACCATGTCTTTATACGAAATGTAGAATTCATCATTTGGTACAGGGGTGCCTTGAGCATATGCTCAAATAATGACATTTTGCAGCTTTGGCCTACTTCACTTGAAAATGGTGTGAAACAGGTCTTTTCTGCCATTTTCAGACAAAATATGTACATTTTTGGCTCCTGTGACCTAATATTAAAACCAAATGACCTAAAATTTGGTATAGGGGTGCCTTTGACGTATGCCCAAAGAGCTATACTCACATTTTTGGTAATTAAACACTACTATGAATTTGTGTAAAATAAGTTTTTTTCTGCTCTTTCCAGACAAAATGCTTTATGCCCTTGTATTAATACCAAACGACCTGAAATTTGTTAAAGATGTGTCTTAGGCCAATGCCAAATGAACTTAAGACATAGTTTGGCATACACCACTATAAAATTGTGTAAAATGGGTCTTTTTTGCTATGCCCAAAGAACAGAGCTAGCAATGCTGTAAGGTAGCAGCACACATGCAGTACTATTAATGGGCGACCTCCGGGGTATGTGACGCGGGTATAGAAAGTAGTACAGCGAATATTCTTGAAGGCTGGGTAGAAAGCCTGATAAGAGCGTCAGCCAGACGTAAATTGCGCTGTGTGGTGTAGGAATGTATCGGGTTTGAGACTGTATGATTTGAATTGTGAAGGTTTTGCAGTTCGTGTATAAATGCGCCGTATTACGCAACCGGCTTTCCGGGTAAGTCGGCTGCAGTTCAGGTCACGTCCGTAGAGGGCGATTTCAAAGTGTACGTTACGAGCAGATACGCCGACAGGATTTTTTGGTTTCTAGATACTTTGTAGTTTGTGCCTTCTCAAGCATATTCGATTTTGGTATTTGTGAAGTGCACCCTACTGTAAGTTTTACCGCGTCGAAGTGAGTCATCTTGGGGTCCTTAACTGTAGGGCGAAAACTGTGTTCTGCTACTGTAAGGGGATGGACCAGCAGTCATGCGCAGAACTAGTAGTGTGTACACCACTAGATTTATTTTGGTACGTCTTTTTTAGATAATTTTTTCCTGGGCAAATTGTGCTCAGAAAGGCCCAGTTTTCTGGTAAGAAGGGCAGAAGAATGTATATTTTTAAAATATGGCCAAAAATTGTGACATTTTTCATGGTTTGACCTGTTATTGACCTCTAAATACTTGTGATCTCCATGCCCTTATCCAGTAGCGGATGGCTTGGGGGTTCCAGGTCCCCAGATGAGTTTTTAATAGCCTATCGTCTGTCAACAGCATAACCTGAGAAAGCTTACATGGATGATCTTGATATTTGGTAGGTGGGTAAGTTTTGATGAGACCTGGAAATGATTAGATTTTGGACCCCCTAGCGGCTTGTTATGGTACCGCAGCTGAACTTCCGGTTTTGATATCTCATGATCTACACACGCTGGGGTGACGAAATTTGGATGGTAGGTATTCCTTGCTGGGGAAGAAGTGGCGTGAGTTGGGCCACTAGCGGCTTGCTCAGGAACTGCAGGGCTATCTGTTTGAAAATATTCAAAAGAGGATACCTCAAGAACCGGTGGATGATCGTCGTGATTTTTGGTATCTAGGTAGCTTACGTGATGCTTGGTATAATTATGCGGCAATTATGAAAATCTGGATTAATTTGCATAATTAATGGGGAAATTCTATAAATCAGCTACATTACTATATATAACTATTCAAGCATGTGACATGTAATTGAGAACGAAACACAGGCAGATATTGATTATGTAAATTAACACTTAATTTGCATAATTAATGAGAAAATGTAATAATTCCATAATGCTAACTGCCTGGAATTTCATACTTGGGGTTGCTAATGTCTTTTCCAAATTCAAAGTGACCAATGTTTCTACAGTAACGTATGGACCTCCCACGACGCCCTTTTCTGAACTTGATCTTGCTATCGTCAACGGTAACTTGCTCAGCAAAAAATCGTGAACATCCTTTTCCATATTCACGAATTATCCCGCTAACAACAATAACGACCACCACAAAAGGTCAAATTCAATGACATGGGAACCCCCCCCCCCCCCCAGGCCCACCTTCGAACTTGACCTCCGTATCCTCAACGGCGACTTGCCCATGAAAATCATAGACAGGCACTTAAGGATTCCCGATTTATCTGAGGAAGAACAAAAAACGCAAACACAAAAGTCAGCTCGAGTCACGTAAGAACCCCCCCCCCCCGTGTACACTATATGACATCCAGTAGATTTCTAGCGGAGACCAATAATAGGGCTGCTGACGCGTCACCGACTAGCGGCTATTAGCACCTTGTTTCATGTAAATGCCATGAACTCAACCAGAGCGCGTATATTGTTTACCTAAGACAGTCTCAGATACCTTTACTTTTCTTATGTCATGCCCCGATGCAATCTCACCATATATAGGCCAATATATTTCTAACGCCTTAGTTAAAAGAAACAATGTCATTTCCGAAACAGTCAACTGATTGCTTACACATAACAATGGAATCAACTATATATATATATATATATATCCATTATACTAGTAATACTTAAGTATAGGACAGAGTAGTATTTAGTTGTAGATTTACAGAACCCCTGTATAATGTTTGCCATTCCTTTTGTATACTAGTACGATGTAACTTAAGTTCGATTCATATACAGCATGAATGTAGTACTCTTTTACGCATTAGTTTAGATTTTAGATTTGTACTTAGTACCCCTAATTGCCATACGATGTATCCGTACATTAGTTGTGCAATAAACTTTGATTTGATTTGATTTGATTTGTTTCTTGTTTACATCAGTACTAGGTAGTACTTCCACAATCAGTTAGTAAAGTCATACCTTAGTAAAATCTACTTTGATGAACGAATCAAAACGGGACTGTAGACATTAAGTTTTACACATTCAAATGGGGCTGCACCAGCGCTAATGGAGCGACCACTATGTACGGCAAGGAACGGATCTTAGCGAAGCCGAGATTTGTGAACCAAACCCAACCCATCGAAGACGGGCCGCCAAACATAAAAATGGAGGGAAATGACAGACAACAAGCCAACAAAGACAA